CAGGAAGGAGGTCGGCTCTACCCCGACCACCCTGCTGCCGGCACCTACCTCGATCTGCCGCACCACGTCCATGCCCTCCGTCACCTCCCCGAACACCACGTGCTTCCCGTCCAGCCAGTCTGTTTTATCACAAGTGATGAAGAACTGGGAGCCGTTGGTATTTGGGCCAGAGTTTGCCATCGATAACAGCCCTGTGATCAAAAAGTGCAGTGTTACGGCTGGGGAAGGAGCGAGGAGCTCCAGCACGTGAGCCGCTACTTCAACCCAAACCCGTTCCCGTGCCTTGCATAAAGCTGCTGGTTTTAAACTCCGCAGAAGCTATTGGAAACCAATTATGTCGAGAGAGAAATACTTGCAAGCATGAAAGATGGGAAGTGGTGGAGATTGCTCATCTATTTTTAGTTGCAATAACAGAAAAGCTGTTTGTACGGAGATAAACCTGCTTGCTTTTTGCTGCTTTTCACAGTCACAGTGTGACATTCCTCCTTTAAAATCAAACAGGAAAGCAGCTTTGAAACTCTTTCTCCATTACGTAACACTGGAAATTAACAGTGCGTGGATGGAGAGCGAACGATGCATTTCTGCTTGCTGAATGCCGGTGATACACGACGGTCTGACCGTGGCAGATTACACCGCGGCAGAAGCGTGTGGCCACCACAGATTATAATTCAGGGCTGCTACTATCAAGACGGTCTAGGTCAAAACAGCCCAAGTGTGACCCCTAGATAAAGTTGAGCCATTTTGCTCTCCAGCCGCTGCCTGGGGAGATAGCTCTACCTGGCCCCGTGTGTTTGAGAATGAAGTTTTCATCATCAAACTTCTTCCCATAGATGGATTTGCCTCCGGTGCCGTTGTGGTTGGTGAAGTCGCCAGCCTGGCACATGAACTGGGGGATGATGCGGTGGAAGCTGCTCCCTTTGAAGCCGAAGCCTTTCTCATGGGTGCAGAGGCAGCGGAAATTCTCTGTTTGGGGGCAAGGGGGAGCGAGGTGAGAGCTGCGTCGCAGCTGGAAGCCACCATACCGGGGAGGCTGACCCTCTTCCTCACCTACGGTCATGGGCACCACATCTGAGCGCAGGAGGATCTGCAGCCGCCCCGCAGGTTTGTTTCCAATCTTGATGTCCATGTAAACCTGAGGGTTGACCCGGGATTTCTTGGCAGGAGGCTCACCCTGGGCAGAAAGAGAAAAAAAACAAGTTGAGATGACATTCCTCTGCTCTGCCTCCAGAGACGGCTAGCCCCACACTCTCAGTCTTTGGCACAGCAAGGACACAGATGGCTCCGGTTGTTCTTCCTACCTCCTGCACTTCTGTTTTGGGGGCCTCTGCTCCTGCCTCCTCTGTGTTCTCCTCCAGAGTCTTCCCCGAAAACTTCTTCAGCCAGTCGTCGTCCGACCACACTGCGATGGCAAAAGGAAGGGTCAGAGCACAGGAACCGAACCAAAGGGCCACGTGTGAGCATGCACGCGGCTGCACGGGTCAGGGCGCAGCACGGCGCTGGCAGCAGGATCACACCCGAGGCGTGGGAGCACTCGGCTGGCAGCAGCCTACCCCAAAAGACACGGCGTGTGGGGAAATAAGGGACGAAGTCATCCCTTCTTCCTCCCAGAAGTGCCACGCATCACCGGGCAGGGCAAGCTTACGGCCTGTTCCCTGGGACTACCCCCACACAGGGCAATTGCTCGGGATGGCCTCGGCCCCAGCTGCTTTTACAGATGTGGTCAGATGTGTGGGTAATTCTGCCTGGCACGTGTGTGCGTGCTGTGCCCTCCGTCAGAGGGCGTGAAGGCAACTGGAAGTACAGCCAAGAGTATTTCCATCCAAGGAACCGGGGGATATTTTTGGTCACTAGGATGCCGCTCAGATCCCCAAGATCCCCAAATGGGAGGCAGAGCCTCAGGGTCCAGGGAACCAGAGAGAAAGGCTGATGCACGAAGCTCTGAACATCCACGGGGACGCTCTCCCCTCCCGGGCACCAACTCACCAGGCCTGGATGATCCTTCTTTAATTCGCATTGGTTTGGCCAAGTTCACACGAATTGTCCTGCCGAAGAGCTCAGACTCATTCTGCAGAGGGAAAAAAAGCAGAACAAAGCCCACCAAAAGCTAAAAAAAAAAAAAAAATCACTGTGCCCCCCAAATCCCTGACCCAGAGGTCAGAGGAAAACAGAGCTTGCTTTCTCTATGTAGCCCACACCACACAGGGCCTCGGTCTGTGCTGCTGGGAAGACGGCAAAGCCACGCGTCTCCCCAGGCGAGTGGGAAGAGGTTCCGTACCATGTTGTCAATAGCTGCTGCCGCATCCTACCAAAAAAGCAAAAGAAAATCATTATTATTGTTTCTTCTCTCTCTACCTTTAAAAGCAAGGCTGAGCCTACACGTGCCCCAGCATTTCGCTGCAAAAAAGATTGCCAAGGGACTGTCTTCCTAAACCTCATCTACCCCCGGGCTGTAAAAACTGCGAGAGCCGTATCCAAACCAGTATCTGGGGCTCGTCTTCCCACAACCAATCCAGTAAACCCATTTTATGTACCGTGCTTTATCGCTTACGCAAAATATTTGGGAGAAGAGGAGAAATCTCGTGTATGAAGCCCAGGACAGATTATAAGACGGCAAATATATGACAGCCTGTGCTGCCCACGAAGCCAAGAAACCCACCCACGGCTGCTGAGCTCCAGGGACGGCAGGAGAGCAGTTTGGGCCAGCAGCGGCCGTGCTTCAGCCCAAAAGAAAATGGGAAAAGCGGGAACTCAGAAAGGCAGAACAGCAGCTCCCGCAGCTCGAGAACAGTCCGAGGCTGTGGCTGGTAACCCCCGCCTGCTTCCATCAACTGCAACACTGCTGTCCCCAACGGGAAGAGGATCCAGCCCAAAAACACCAGGGGAGGAAGAGGAGAGCGCAAGCGGCTCAAGTCTTTGCCCCTTTCTCACCTCTGCCAGCTCAAATTCAATGAAGGCAAATCCCCGGTGCTTTTCTGGAGAGAGAGAGAGAGAAGCAAGCGGTCACGGGCAGCAAAGACACGCAGGTCCCACGGCGACCCAGCAGCGGTTGGGTCCCGTCCCG